AATATTTTTTAAATATCAGGCCCTTATATGTAATTATTTTCAAATTGGGCCCTTATTTGTAATTATTTTCACTTTTCGGGCCCCTATATGTAAATTCCCCCACTGAAAATCAATAATAAGATTGGGTAAATTCGGCGCGAAAATCAATGATAAGATTTGAGCGAAAATCAATAAGATTCGGGTAAATTTCGGCGCGAAAATCCGTTGCATAAAAAATTTTAGATGGTTTGTGATTGCACATCACCAAAAATTATTAACCAATAAACACAAAATTTCAAAACACAATAAACTTGATTATCTCAAAATCATATTTTTTCGACTAGTATGGATGAGTGAAATAAAAGCATTTTCCACCAGCCATAAATTAAAAATACTGTAGTATTGATTAGTAAAGTTCATGTCGCAGTTGTTATGAAATGCAGGCTTTTAAAACTACCTAAAACTATAGTTGATACAATTTACGTATTTAGTTGGATTTCTGAAAACATTTCGAAGACAAACCAATTTAAAAATTTTATAATGAAATTCATTAAGAAAATATTCTTTTGCAAACTGCCCCGAAGATCAAATAATAAGATTTGGGTAAATTTGGCGCGAAAATCAACAAGATTTGATAAATTTTGGCGCGAAAATACCCCGAATTATTAGAACATGATAAACTTGATTATTTCAAAATCATATTTTTTCGACTCAAAGCCCCATACTTTATGCCGTTGTTTAATTGTATCTTTTCTTTAGATAATTATACCAATTTTATTTTAATGAATGCTTCATTGATGATTTTGGTGGTTATGCCAGGCGAATTAAGTGTAACAATTGTATATAAATGGGTTCTTGAAATAAATCAAGCGCAATCCAGTTCAAAATATATATTATGAATACTCAGTATGTTACTGAATTAGCATTTAGGCGGTTATATTACGATAGATAAATGCAAAAAAAGATAGAAACTGAAACTATCACTATTTCTCAAGAATTTAACAATTCAACTTTGTGTTTGTCACATGATATGCGTGGATGATTTTATTGGTAGATATATTAAAAAAATAAAAATCTTGGATTCCCCCGGCCGGTATATGAAAACCAAAATATAAGTTTGTATGGCCTTATGAAGTGAAAATGCCAATAACTCGCGATCTGCTAAACTAATTTTAATATTTGTTAGAAACTCAAGGAAGGTTTACTTGATATAAAAAAAACTTTTTATTGTAAGCTAGCTACATTCTACCTCTATAGAAAAATTATATTTGCTTCTGATAATTTCTACTATTAAAGCTGTTATTTTTTATACCCTTTAACAGCGATTTGCCTCTTAATAATTTTCATAAATAAAAACAATTTCATTAAGAAAAAAGAAAAGGAAAAATTCTCAATCACTAAGGTACGTTACAATGAATCACTCGAAGACTTATACAAATCATTAGAAATAAATCCTAATGATTCTTGTGCATTGATTGGTCGTGGAAAGATATATTATCATATAGGACGATTCGGGAGTCACTTTATCATTATTGTGAAACTTTAATCACTAAAAAAGTAAAAAATAACTGATCTTTATAAAAATATTATTCAAAAGATTTATACATTTAAAACAATAGTTTGCAAAAGAATAGTTAACTTGAATGACACACAAGCATCGAAATAAATATTGAAAACAAATAATAACTTTATGAACTTATTCAACATTTGAGATAACATGTGCCATAATAGTCTTTGAATCAGTCTCCTATTATTTATTCACATAATATATACTGCACATTTAAATTATTAGCTATGGTAAAATAGGATTTATTGTTTGATCAAATTTATGAACTTTATATATAACCCGTCTTTTTATCACTAGTATCTAAGATTTTACAAGGGTACTGATAACCTCGGTAATCGGACGAGGGGTGAAGGTAAATTTGTCACTATGAAAATCTTTGAAATCTATAGTGGTGACTAAATAAGCTGCAAAATCATCCAACATTGTAGGAACTGGGTCGATATTATTTTTATACCTTTCTCTCACGGTTAAATCATAGGAAACTTCCCATTTTGAGCCTAAAAGTAAAAAAAAAAAAAAAGATTAATCAATGTTTAAATACGAACATTGTTGCTCAAATGAAGCTTACCAGTAACCTCCTCAAACTTTTGAACCAATTCATTTAGTGTTAAAACGCAACCAGCCACTTTGATAATGCCATTACGAGCAGCAGGTAGCTTAAGTGACTCAACAGTATATTTACCAACATCAGACAAAGCAGTGGTGACTACCTTTGTGTTACCATCAGCGAAAAACTTGGCTTTCTTGTTTTTTATGATCAAATCCTACTATCCACAAATA